TCATGTATTTACCTTTTTCTGAAATGTGAGTTGAGTTACTGTCCCATGTCCTTTCATTTCAAACTTTAAGACTCTTCTTAGCATTTTCATTTTTGCAGGGCACATCTAGTTGTAACAAACCCCCTCATTTTTGTTTATCTGGAAATATCTTAATTTCTCTTTCATTTTTGAAGGACAGTTGCTGAATATAGAATTCTTGGTTGACAGTTCTTTTTTCTTTTAGCACTTTGAATTATCAGCCCACTGCCTTCTGGCCTCCAAAATCTCTTATGAGAAATCTGCTGATAATCTTATTGAGGAGCCTTTGTTATATGATGATTTGCTTCTCTTGCTGTTTTCAAGATTCTTTGACTTTGCCTTTTGACTGTTTGATTATAATGTCTTGATGTGAATCTCTGAGTCCATTTTACTTGGAGCTTGGTGAGCTTCTCAAACGCATGTATGTCTTTTGTCAGACTTAGGATGTTTCAGACATTACTTTTTCAAATAATTGCTATGCCCTTTCCTTTCCTCCTTCTAGGGCTCCTAAAGTGCTTGTTTGTCCTCTTGCTGATGTGTACATGTTCCTCAGGCTGTTAGGTTCACTTTTGTTCATTTTTTTCTTTCTATTCAGATGTGGTCATTGGGACTTCCTATCTTAAAGTTTGCTGATTCTTTCTGTTGTCTGTTTAAATCTACCTTTGAATTCCTCTAGTAAATATTTTATGTCATTTATACTTTTCAGCTCCAGAATTTCTTTTTGATTTCTCTCTGTATTTTCTCTTTCTTTATTGATATTTCCATTTTCTTCACACATCAGTTTCTTCATGTCTTCCTGTATTTTTTTTTCAGTGCCTTTTAAATCAGTTGTTTTAAAGTCTTTGTGTGTCTGCCATCTGGTTGTTCTTTGGGACAGCTTCTGTTGGTTGTTCTTTATTCCCTTTGAGTGAGCCATACTTTCTTAGGTCTTCGAATGCCTTGTGATTTGTTGTTGGTTCTCTTCAGGCTGCGGATACCTTGCAGTGAAAACTTTTGGTCTTCTCAGGTATATTCTGAGTCTGGCTTCCGTTAGGGAAAAAGAGAAAAATGAATGGGGATAAAATGCATGGTTCCATTAAATCCCCTGGAAGTCAAATCAGCAGGAGGGGACGGACTTTTTAACAAAGTCTGTCTGCCTCTCTCTTCACCTTCTGTGATCAGAAGAAGGAATTGGAACAGAGATCTCCACTTTTGGGAGGGCAAGGTCCTGTTTCTCACTCTGGCTCCCCCAAACTGTGTACAACCTGCTTCGGCATCATGTGTATAGCTTCTTGCCACTAGACTGGGTGTTTGGGGAATAGGTAGCTGCTGCTGAGTTAGAGGCTGAAATTATCCACAATTTACTGTCCATTCCTTCCCCTAGAAGTTGCAAGCCTTCAGTAGACAACATAGTTACAAAACAGTTATATTAGATAGATTCTGCAGGGCCTCCCCAGTGGTGCAGCGGTTGAGCGCAGGGCTGCGAAGCTGCCTGCAGCCTCTGCAGCACATGTTTGATCCCCAGCCGCCAGGCGAGGGTCCCACGTGGCGTGCACACCTCTCCTGTCTCGCCCGCTGCTCCCCTCAGCAGTGTATTTCGTCAGTCTGCCTGTTCTCCACTCTGGCTCTGGTGAATTCTGTCACCCTCCCGCACTTCTGACTGTACCCAGTGCTTGTGTAAATAAATAAAACTTTAGATAGATTCTGCCAGTGCAATTATCTTCTTGGTTGGGGAGACAGAGCCCTGGTGCTTCACATTCTGCTGTTTTCTTGGAATTCTCCTATGTGTGTTAGCACATGCATAGATTACTATCACTAAAATCAGATATAGAACAGTTCCATCATTCCTAAAAGCTCCTCATACAGTCTCTTTAGAGTGATAACCTTCCATATGCCTAAACCCTATCAACCATTGATCATTTCTCCTTCACTACAGTTTTGTTCTTTAGATAATGCCTATAAATGGAACCCTACTGTATAACCTTTTTAGACTTTGTTTGCTCAATATAATGATTTTGAGATTCATCCAAGGTGTTGCATTGATGACTGGTTTTATGTGGTATGTGTGTATCACAGTTTATCCATTCTACCACTGAACAGTGTCATGCTAATTCCAGATTGTGTCCATTGTGAATAGAGTTGCTGTGAATGTCTAGGTAATGGTTTATTTATTTATTTATTTATTTTAAGATTTATTTATTCATTTATATAAGCACTGGATACAGTCAGAAGCGCGGGAGGGTGAGAGAATTCACCAGAGCCAGAGTGGGGAAGGCAGACTGGTGAAATACACTGCTGAGGGGAGCAGCGGTCGGCAGGAGAGGTCTGCGCACCATGTGGGACCCTCGCTGGTGGCCGGGGATCGAACCGGTGCTGCAGAGGCTACAGGCAGCCTCGCAGACCAGTGCTCAACTGCTGCGCCACCAGGGGAGGCCCTAGGTTATGGTTTTAGTATAAATGTAAGTATTCATCTCAGTAGGAGTAGTATTGCAGAGTTATATGATAAGATCATTTAAAAATTTTAAACATTTTAAAAACTTTATTAGAAACTGCTAAACTCTTCCTAATTTCATATTTCCACCAACAATGTATTACGGGTTTCTAATTTCTCCACAGCATTTTCTATTGTTAATATTTTTATTTTAATAATTCTAATAAATGAGGAGTTGTATTTTACTAAGTGCTTTTAGTTCGCATTTCCTTAATGATATGAAACATCCTTTTATGTGCTTATTTGCTGTCCACGACTTACCTTCTTTTGGTGAGGTATCTGTTCTAACCTATTTTTTAATTGGGTTGTTTTCTTATTGTTGAGTGTGAATATTCTTTATATATTCTGGATTAAGTTTTTCATTGAATTTGTTGTTTGAAAGTATTTTACCCCATTCTATAGCTTGTCTTTTAATTTTCCTCAAAATATATTCACAGTTCAAAAATTTTAAATTTAGGTTCAGTTTATCATTTTTTTCTTTTATGTATTTTGTTTTTGGTGTCATGTTTAAGAAGAATTTGCTTAACTAAAGAGGATGAAATGTTTTTCAAAAAGTTTTATAGTTTTATATTTTCTGTTTAAATTTATGGTTTATGGTTTAACTTTTATATAAGGTATAATGCTTAGGACAAGTGGACTTCCAATTGATCTAATACCCTTTATTGAAAAGGCAATGCCTTCAATGAATTGCTTTTGTGCTTGTGAAAAACCAAATAACTATATCAATGTAGGTCAATTTCCGGACTATTCTTTTTCATTGATTTGCATGCTCTTCTTGACCAATATTGCATTGCTTTTGATTGGTCTAACTTTATAGTAACCCTTAAAGACAGGTAGTATGTTTTCTTCCTTTTCGAAATTATTTCAGGTATTCTACTTTCTTCGCCCTTCTATATAGATTTTGGAGTCAGTTTAACTATATTTACAAAGTGTCCTGCTGGGGGTTTCATCAGCATTGCATGAGTCTAAAGATTATTTTGATGAGAATTGACATCTTTCCTATGTTGAGCCTTTCGATCCTTGAACAGAGGATGTCATTATATTTATGGAGGTCTTGGTTTAATTTCTATTACCAGCAGTTTGCAAGCCTCGGCATATGTATTCTTTATATATGTTATGTGATTTATACCTGAGTATTTCAATTTGGGGGTGAGATATTATAATAGTGTTTTAAAAATTTTGGTTTTCAATTTTATGTGATTGCTATATAGAAATGTTACTGACACTTGCTGTAAAAATGTAATGAGAGAGTTCAATAAAGCAGTTCATTAGATACTTGTTAAGAATATGTTCACTGTACATGCTCAGGACATCATCGTGGCATTGGTAATCAGTACCAGCAACAAGAAGCAGACTAGGGGATATGAAAAGCAGTCTTGGGACTCCTGTGTTGTTCCCTTGGGGCTCCTTGTAGCCTCTCTTAATCTGTGGTACACTATGGTGTATTGAAAATCTATGGTATTGTGAACTCCAAGAGAAGAGCTAAAGTTCTAGGGGGTTTTCAAGGTGTACACTGCTTTCCCAGTCAGGGAATAGGAGAAGCTATGGTATTGCAGAGCTGCTGTGTGAATGTGTGTAAGGGAAGCAGCAAGAGAAAAAGATCTAGAGCAAATGAGGTCAAGGGAGTGACTTGGGGTCTAAGAGGCAGGTTGACTCAGCAGTGGTTTTACCTGACGTAGCAAATCTGCTTTTCTTCAGGAGGAACAGACTTTCATTTTTTGCTTCCCCATAGTAGCAAAGGACTCTTCCCTTGAATAGTGGTGGAAATTGTTTAAGAGCCCTCACAAAGAGAATTTGACTTATAAAGGGCTTCTAGTATGCAGTCTAACTGATAATAGGAAATAGTACCACTACCCAACGCTGGAGATCAGTGGTTTTGTCCTTATCTTTTTTGTTTTGTATTTACATCATGGAGCTCAATAGGTAAAATAGATCAAAGAAAGCTGGAGCTGCCAACTCTGGCCAACCCACTTCTGCAGCAGCCCCTCGAAGGCATTCCTAAGAAAGTTGGGGGGCACAGTTTGTAAAACCTTGTAGATGGTTCCCTGGGTTATACTAACCTTTTTATGCCCAGGTCTCTATTTGAGGAAAGGGATTGGCCATGGTTGTGTAAATGGCAGCAAATAGGTCTTTACTGTAATAACAGAGCACTTGGTCCCTGAAGGTCCCTTCTCTAATTCCGCCTGAGCTGCAGCAGTTGAAGCCCTTGATTGGGACTGACTGACTGTTTAGGGAGCACACAGCTCATTATGTAATGAAGTGTTGTAACCAGAGTGCTCAGGAAGTGTTTGGGGGATTTGGAGGCAGTGGCGGTGCTCTTCAGAACATTTCAGTTAATACAAAACATGCTGCTTTCAATTTATTTTGTTTATGTGCCAATGCCAGTGCCATTTTGCACAGAGAGCAGCCTGTTTACATGCTCTCCCATATGGCATGGCATAACCTGACCCATTTTTGTATTTCACTGCATCAGAATCCGATCGTGACCTGGTCTTTATTTTTTCCTCTCTAGGCTACAGATGCACATGTTGAATGGAGCTCTTCTGGCCCTGCTGTTTCCTGTGGTAAATACCCGGCTGGTAAGTAGATTCTTTCAGGAACATGCCAGCAGCATATGAAACAGTGTTGGCTCACACCTTCATTATTCAGTGATTCTCCTTGTCCTCAGCTCATGTGCCCGTGTGAGTTTTAAAATACCTTTTTTCAATGTTGAGGCTTGACACAGTCCTGTTTCAATGCAGGGGAGACTGATGGGAGTGGGAGTAATTTTTGGAATTCGGGGTTTTATCTTAGAACCAGGACAAATCAAAATACTTGCAGAAATCCCTGGAGAAATTTGGTGGAGAAAATGGGGGGTGAGAGGGAGAGGAGACCCCCATCATTAGACAGTGCTCAATGGCTTTCTGCTTCACCAAGGGGCTGCCTGGGCAAAATGAGATTCCTTCCCAATTCACCCAAAACCAAGTGGCAGCCTGGGCCACACCCTCCACCATAAGTGCAGGTCAAGTCAGTTGGGTGATAAACCAGCCTAGAAGGAAACAGCGACAAGGCTGAGATGGCAGGGCCTCGTATTCCGACCCCCATATGTGGGACTGTGGGGGGATTAGCAGGCCAGGTAGGAAAGTTTAGGGCAAGAAACCACTTGTGCACTCCTTCCTACTTCTTTCAGTTTTCATGACTGAAATTTGCTTCATATATTAATATCAGAGTTTAAATCTCTAAATGATAATCCTTTCTCTTTGGATAGCATTTCATAGTGTTTCAAGGTCTTTTCACTTAAGTTGTGTGAGATAGGTAGGGCAATTATTATGACCTCTTGCTACAGAGGAAGACAGGGAGTTCAGGGAGTCACGTAAATTCTAAGTGGCAGAGTTAGAACAGAGCCCTAGGCTCTTGATTGTACAATCACAGCTACAGTTTGCTCTCAGGATTTAGTTACTCCATTCCCACAAAATACTCATGTAAATCCTTATGATTGTTACATTTAAAAAAAAAAAAAAGATTTATTTATTTATTTATTTATTTATTTATATAAGCGCTGGGTACAGTCAGAAGCACGGGAGGGTGAGAGAATTCACCACAGCCAGAGTGGGGAACAGAACAGGCAGACTGACAAAGTACACTGCTGAGGGGAGCAGCAGGCAAGGCAGGAGAGGTCTGCGTGCCATGATTGTTACACTTTTATAGGTGCAGATTATATATATATATATATATATATATATATATATATATCAGTAGAAATGAAAAGAAAAATATTAATAATCTAAGGCATGAACCCTCATGTGATGAACCCTCATGTGATGAACCCTCATTGTGCTCTCGGCTCACCTAGGGGTACCACACACACACAGACCGCCCCCCCCCAAATTCATGAATAAAAACCACTCTTTGTCCTGGTCCTACCCTTAGAGAATGTGAGTTCTTGATCTGTGATGCAGATTTGGCACAGTGTATTAAAAAGTACCTTCCAAGGCAGAGCTGCAGTTGAGAACCACTGATTTTGTGCAGCATTTCTGACAATTAAAGTGCAGCAATCACTGGAAGGAATGGTTAAAAAACCAGGCTTGACAGACTCCATCCTTAGAAGGTCTGACTGAAAGGGTCTGGTGTAATGCCAGGAAATGAACATTTTTAACAAGTGTCCAAGTGATGCCAATTGCAGGGGTCCTCAGATCGCTCTTGAATCAGGGTCCTATGAGCTCATGATTCAATGTCACTCTCAGTGTGGGGAACTCATAGTGTGGTCTGAGGACCAGCATCACATCGATGCTGCTTGTTAGAAATGAGAATCTTGGGTTCCACCTAACACCTGCTGCATCACACCTGCATTTTAACAGAATTCTCAGGTGGCTTGTTTGGCCTTGCTCTCTTTTTCCAAAGAGCCCAATGCACCTTAAGAGAGACCATCCAAAGTCCTCACGAGGAGAGCACCGGGGTGGGGTGGGCAGACAGCATTTTCTCTGTCACGAGGGGTACTTCAAGTGCAGTGATCCCCTGTGAGCTGGGGTCAGCAGGCACAGGCTGCTCACATAGTATCTTGCTCTCCCTTCTACGTCTCCACAATATAACCTGCATGAGCTTCATGTGGTGAACAAGAGAATTAGAACTCCTGCTTTCGTCTCAGAGCTGTAGGGGATGGTCCCCAAGAATGGTGCAAATTAAACAAACTGAAAACACTCCTTTCTGGCTCAGGGATGTGTGAACAGGGACAGAAGGAACCCAACCTGAGGACAGAGCCTGCTAAGGCAGAGAAGTGGATCCGATGCTATCTTTTTCCACCTGTCAGGTTATTGTGTCATTGTTTTCTCAGGGTATTATAGGTCAGGCAGAGCAGGAGCAGCTTTCTCCATTTTCTGTAGCCCTCTCAGATTTCCAGAGGCATATCAGAAAATTTCTCCTTGGACTCATAGAGTAATCCTGAATTTGAGGCATCCAGCCCACAACTCTGGCCAGTCTCTGCATCAGTTGAGGTGGAAGTGGTTCCCCTAAACAGCTCACCTTCAGCTCTCTTCCTAGTGGGACTGTCCCCTCAAGGGGAGCCAAACAAATCTCCCCTTTGTAGAATCACTGGGTATACACAGCCATTATAAGTCGCATTGCGAAGCTTGAAAACAAAGACCCCATGGCTCATTCACATACCTGGAGTTGGTTAGCAGGTGGGTGGTGAAGTTTTCATTTAATCCATGTTTGTGTTCTGTCTTCACTGGGCCCGCTGATGTGCTGTAACTCCTAACATCCACCGTGGCAGAGATAGTAGCTGCCACTTCGGGGTGCTTGCTGTGTGCCAGGTACTATTCGAAGTGTGTGCCATGGACCAATTTCATTAATCCTCATAATAAACATAGATACAGTTATCCCCAAGGTCAGGGTACCACCAGCATTGGTTTTCTCTACTGCCTTTCTTGGCTTGCAGGTGGCTGCCAGCCCCTTGGAACAGGATCTTTTCTCTGTGCGCACATATCCCTGGTGTGTCTGTGTTTGTCTAAATCTCCTCTTTCTCATAAGGACTACAGTTAGATTGGATTAGAGTGCACCCCAATGGGCTCATTTATGCTTAATCGCCTTGTTAAATGTCCTTTTCAAATATAGTAACTTTTTTGGCTTGTTTTTAATTATTTAATTTTTAAAATTCTTTTTATCTTTTTTTACATCACTGTTCATTTTTAAACAATATTTGCTTCCCCTACCCCCTCAGGTGTTGTCCCCACAGAGTTTCCTTCCCCAGTGCACCTGGGCACCATCACCTCAGTCCCCTGTGCTCCTTCCTGCCTCCCTCTGATCCCTCTCCCTCCTCCTCCCCTGCAGTAGGTCTCTGATTCATAATTGTCCATTTTTGCTTTGCTGTGTTTTGTACTGTTTTTATTTTATTTTTTACACTGATGTCTTATTTGGTTCTCCTATATTCCTGCTCAAATATAGTCACTTTCTGAAGTGCTAGGGGTCAGGGCTGCACCACAGGTGGTTTTCGAGGGACCCAGTTCTGCCCACAATAGTTTACTACTCTATACAGAAAACCCTTTCTCTCCTGCTCCCACCTCTCCCTCTCCCTCTCCCCCTCCTTTTCCTTCCCCTCTTCGCTTCCTGTTCCCCTTCCCTCCCTCAGTCCTTCTTCCTTCCTTTCTCTCTCCACTTTTTCCCCCCTCTCTTGGCAGATTTGTCGTTATAGTTCTTATACAACCCAATACTTTACAAATAAATGCCAAACTATAGCCAGTCAGCTTGTCAAGAATGTTTAAATACCTTTCCTTACAGATGAAATTACTTGGACAAGCTCTTTCTTAACTGGTTAGTCAAATCATTCTGGTGAATAATCTTGGTGCTCTTTTTTGAAAATGAAACCAAGAAAAGCTCATGGTGTGAGCAAGCTCCATTTGCATGTGGCTTGGCCACTGACTTTGATCTGGTTGTTAGAATGGTTGGGATACTTCTTGAACTCCTGACTTTCAGTACCTTTGATTTGCAACCTCTTGTTTGAGTTCAGATGACCTTAAAATGAGACCCAGGAAGGTAGGCAACCCTTAAGCTTGATGATCCAATTAGGCAGGAAGCCAGCTTTTTACTTCTCTTTTGTCCTTCCTTCCTTTCTTGGCCCTTTATCTTTCTAATCCCTATTTTTTTTTCCCTCATTAGCAGTAACAAGGAAGCAAGGAAGATAAAATGAAATAATTAGTGTGTGTTCCAGTAACACAGACATATGTACACTCACATACATAAAGACGGAGGGAGTTGGAGGAAGTTGCCACCTTCAGCTAAAGGATGTGGGGTCACCAGTGAATTTTCGTGTTCTGTCCTGAGACTCATTGGCATGGGATTCAAAGACCAGCTAGAGAATGCCCAGGTCTAGTTTTCCCTGGTTCTCCATCTTAGAAGCTGGCACCTCAAAGAAGGAACGTGTATTCCAATGGTCCCTATTACAAGTAAGTGCTTGTTGCTGCCTGGGTTCCAGAGAAGGTTTCTTTCTGACTTCAGATAAAGGGGCTTAAAGGTGATTTCTGTTTTGCTTCTTGGAGGAAAACTGCATCATGGACCTATTGATGATTAGATTAGTGGGGAACTGAAAGCTTATCTGATATAATCTTATCTTCCAGAGGAGGGGGGTTTCGGAGGTTACATAATGACTTGCTAAAGAAGCCAAGGTGAGTACCCCTAGAACTCAGGTCTCTTACTTCAGACTTCAGAACTCTTTTTCTTGTTCTGTGACTGAAATTCAGGGCAAGTTGAATGGTACTGAGTCAAGAAGCTGGAGATGCTTCTTTTCTCCTCTTTACCCCTCTATCTAAAAAAGTGGGGTCATACACTTCTTTGAGAAGCGGAAAAGGACAGTATTAGGAGGGACATGGACTGCCACCCCCCACTCCCCAGTCAAGCTATGAAGCCCACCTTGAGATGCCCCTGTTGAAGCTCAGTAGTGTATGGCTTGGATCATCAGATGTGTTGCCTAATTTGTGAGCTCTTTGTTTTAACCATTGACATTTTTGGCTGCTGATGATGTGGGTTCTGATCTTCATCTGTGACCTTGAAAAGACTCTCATCCAAGGTAAACCACCTCTGGAAAGTGGAAGCCAATAGGTGGGAGCTT